TATATATATATATATATAATTTTATTGACCTTTTTTAATATATGATTGTCAATTTTCATAAAAAATTCTTACCTTTTCGACAAATATAAATTTGTCGGTAATATTCCATCAGTAATATAACTTTTCTTACGATTTTTTTTTCTATCAAAAATATAAATTTTTGAACAGATAAATTTGTCATAATTTAAAAAAAAATATTTAACATGTATTCTTTAATTCTGCATAACTCTTGCATATAAAAATTTCATAAATAAAATTTAATATTTTGAGAGGGATCAATAATTCACCACAAATTTCCTCATAAAAAATTTTAAGCTATTTGTGATAGAATTTGTGACAAAATATAAATGTTAACAAAAATTCCGTCACAAAATCCGTCACTGACTTATTTATGATAGTATTGTGACGCATTTTTGTGAGGGAATATTTATAGAGGAACTTAATCCGTCACAAAAGCCGTCACTAATTTTATATTTTTATTCAGTGACAAAAATTGTGACGGATTTTTTAGAGACAAAATTTAGTCTGTCACAAAATTCTTCACTAATTTTATTTTTTTATTCAGTGACGAAAATTGTGACGGATCTTGTAGAGACAAAATTTAATCCGTCACAAAATTCGTCACTAATTTTATTTTTTTTATTCAGTGACGAAAATTGTGACGAATCTTTTAGAGACAAAATTTAATCCATCACAAACTTTAATAAATGGTAGTCCGTCACAAAAATTAAAATTCCCTAACAAAATTCGTCACTATTAGTGATGATATTTTGTCCGTCACAAACATTCGTAACAAATATTAGTTTTTCTAATAGTGAGATATCAATCCACAACACAACTTGGTTACTCGAATGTTGTCACTTAAACAAAGAAGTCTAGTATTACTGTTAGTGTAGAATAGTTAGGTATGGACATATCATGACATAAGCTAGCTTAACTAAGTCTCATATGGGATTAGTTTATCGACTACCCTCTAAATACTACACTCTTCCAACACTCAATTGGGAACTAAGTTTATAACTTCGTACTTTACTTAGTTGGTCACTTGTAATCAGTATAGTTTGATTTAACTCCCTATATATACTGTGATCGCTTTATATATTTGTGCCTTGATCTTGTTCACACGCGGTATCAACTAAGTCCTAAAGGAGATTCAACACAACTATCCACTTTAAGGGTCAACTTTTCAAGAAGATTTTTTCAACAAATTGGACTCTATATGCAACTTTTAAAACTTCTCCTCTAGTCCTAGGTTGGTCATCACAACTCAAAACATCATGCCTAAATGCCTAAAGCATTCTCAACACACTACAAGAAAATAGTAAAATCGCGACCCAGAGATTGCGACGGTTATACTATAACCGTCTCCGCTTCAACATTACGACAGTTTACATGGCAGTTCCCATTAACTGTCGTTAAATTGTTAAATATTGAGGCAGTTTAGTAGAGTTGTCGCAATGTATAAAGAATGAGCCACAAAACGAAAAGCTTCAATTTTGTTAGCCCCTGTTTCACTAAAATGCTCCATTTTCACAAAACCCTCCTCCTTCGTTGAGACCGCAGCCCACCCCGCCGCACTGCGCACATTGTTGACTACGCTCCTCTACAGCACAAGAGTTATTGCGCTCCTCTACAGCACAAAACCCTGGTACATATCTTTTTTCTCTTTTTACCCCCAAATTGCTAGCATTTATGTCTCGACTCAAAAACTCCCAAACACGAGAGTCTTTCATAACTGGCCAAACCAAAA